TGCCAGATCTGATTTTGTAAAAGATTCTTGCTCTATCTTTGAGCTTTTTTTAGTTAAGCATCATTTAACTTATGTTTTCCTTATTTGTAAAACTTCCCAAGAGAGACCAATTATTTAATTTAATTTTGAAATCTAGTTTCTAACATCGTAATGTTTTTCATAGACTTGCATAAATATTTTTTAAGTTATCAGAATAATCAAGCTGAACGTCTCGTATTATTTTTCATAAATTCTTTCACATAAAGTTTGATATTTATATTCGAACAAAAAAAAAACAAGTTCAACAATAAACCATACTAATTCGAAACTACATGCAAAGAAATATCACGGCATCTTTAGAGCATCCTTTTAGAACAGTAGAACCCAACGTCATTCTATTTGTATCTCAATAGTGGTTAAGATTACAAATGGTTGGACTAGAACATATACAAATCAAATCTTAACAGTTAAATAGACTTAATTCTGATCCGTCTCCTAACTAAAATTGAAATTAAATTTACTGTTTTTTTTTAAATTTAAAGCTAGTTCACAAAATGTTTAGTTAGACGAAGAGGTGGAAATGTCTTATTTATTAGAAGAATCAAATTTAAATCCACATCTTATTTACTGAATTTAACGCATGACATTATAGTTACATTTTTCATTTAAATTGTAGTAAGACATTTTAAATAAATCAAAGATTTGCACTCACCTTAATTTGAGTCATGATACATCCCACGAACGCGGTTACGGTAGAATAAAGAAATTAAGATCTAATACCAATAAAAAGGAGTATTAATGTGAAAAAAAGATGACGTAGATGTCTCTTAAAATTGGCACGCACAACCCTATAAGGGACAAATGAAACCCCCGTCACTCCATCGTTTATTAAAAAGTACCTCATAAGGATTCATAACTCGTGCTTCTTGGTTAGAATTCTAGAAAGATTAAAGGGACAACGATTCAAGCTTATACTCATGAGAACAGAACTGAGGGTAAAAAAAGAAATTACAACGTTCCCCTAGGAACTGTATTTAAACTAAATAAGCGCTACATCAATTCCATGAAAGATTGCTATGCGTAATAGTTTATAATGCTGTACAATATATGAAACTGGATCTCCACTACTTGAAGAAGTATGGACGTTAAAAGAATGGGATACTACGATTAACTAGTTTGTGATTCCTGCCACTTCACTATCACGGATATCTCTGATATAGATCTGACAGGAAGTTAATTCAAAGTAATTTATCTCAATGTTTTGAATACATGTTAGTACTTCTTATTAATATAAGCAATTCTGTCTTTAATATCCATACATTTCATCCATCTTTAACGGATCTTGTAGTAAGATCGAATGGACAGTATTAAAAGTATAGTCTTAAAATTCATAACGTTTATAGTTTTAACAATTTACACATAAAATTAGTATTTTGAAATATAAATGGCTAAGTAAAATTTCTACCGAAAATTCCAAAATTATCCATTCAAATTTTCAAATCTATTCATCTTTATTGGTGAATTCAGTTCAAATTTTTACATTCACATATCTTACATATAAATATAAAAATCTCTCAGTTTATTTATCTGCCCTTCATACAAATCCACACCTTTGAACGTATCACTCCAAATTTTTCAGGATATTATATAAATATAGGGGAAAAGCTATAAGCATATTTCCACCACAAGAAATTTTTCAACATATGCTAACATGTTGTTTTCAAAGAATGGCGTCTACAAAAATGTGTGGTAGAAAAATAAAGGATATACGGTATTAGGTTCAAAAGATTTACAATATAATAAGTACACTTAGTGTGCTTAAGGTATAATTTTATTGTTGATGATACTCGTATGAAATTCCATGGACCAGTTTTACCAAACGAGAAAAATATTGCAAACTCAGCAACATACCTTCAAATGAGTAAATTGTTTAATCATCTTTCTTCTATGTGATATCCATTTATAGATTTAAAAAATTTGAAGGATGTCTAAAAATTGATGTGGCTTTTCATAATTTGCTTTATTTTATTTCCCGTGACGTAACCTGTACTGCTATTCTCAATGTTCTTTTGGATAACCTATCATTGACCTGAAATGAACAAGATTTCTATCATCTGTTATAACTGGTTGTTATTTTCATTTAAAACTTTCTTAGTTAACCATCGTTAGAGCTTTTTAGATTCGAATCATACTGTTCATACAAATGAAAATAAGAGGCTCTGTATCTCGTAGACATGATGTTATATAATTCGATATAAAAACCAACGTTTTTAAAAACAACGTTTTTATATGGTGGCAAAGTTTATTAGAGAAAATTATTGAAATATTAGTTAAAACTGTTAGTTATTTTTAACTTTAAAATTTACTTAAAAAGAGACATTTGTGAGAGTATTAAAAAAACTCATAATACTCATAAAATCAAAACATGCATTTGAAAGTTTGTAAGTCATTCTATTAAAAAAAATGGGAACCAGAATTCAGAAAAAATTATTGTGATAAGAAATGGCGCCAAATATTGGAAACTTTCATTCTTGCGAATGATTACTGACTAAAAGTCAGAAACCCTTACTATCTCGGAGATAGTAAAGGGGAGATAGTATCTCCCCTTTGTGAGTACAAAAGGTTTACGATACCTCATGCGGTGTGGGGAGTGCCCGGTGCTCCCAGAGGGGGAAAGAAATTTTTTCCTCGATCCTAAAAGCGCCGAGATGAAAGAATATTTTGACTTATTAAAATTATTGAAATATTAGTTAAAACTTGTCGCAAACGTCTAAATATTGCATTGTTAGGTGAGTACGAACGATTCCCAAAATTTCAAAGCTCTAGCTTGATGGGAAGTTAGTTAAATTAACGATCGAAAATTTGATGACACACACACACACACTCACACACACCAAGTGAAATTCAGAAAAACGTTGTAAAAAAGCATCTAGGAAATGCAGATTACCACTTTCGTTAATATATATATATAAATATAAAACTTTGTGGAAGAGAAAAAAAAAACTGTCGCTTTCTTGGCTGGAATTAGGGATAAAATGTATCAGCACGTTCAGGCGATACTTTTCGCGGTCATCTTGAAACTCCGCCGAATTTTTTGTTCGTCGCTCAGTTCGCCCGAAATTTTTTTGTTCGTTTACTCATTCACTCTATAAACAAATGAATGAATTACAATTTAAAAATTTATCGCGTCATGTTCTTATTTGTCATGCGTATATTTTTAACTTGCAGTTTATATTTGTCTAATAATTGCTTAAAAATATCTTATTTTTAAACCGTAATTGAAATAGAAATTCCGAATAACGGTAATTATACTGAACGAAACTGATTATATAATAGTTCGGAGCAAAACCCACAGCAATTTGATTGAATGCGTAACTAGGTCAATGGCAGACAGCTGGTTCGGCAAACACGAGTCATGTTCACCCAATAAATATCCACATTTATTATTGCGTCAATGTTACTTCTCGCCATCTTTGTCTATTGGCGTAGCTGTAGCAATATAAACATTCAGCCAATGTTATTATTCGCTGGTAGATTCTGCGTATTTAAGAGTCAAATACATTTTATTTAGAAGTGAAATTCAAATAATATATTCATTTTATTAAATTAAAAAAATTTTCATAACTGTAGTATTTTCGTACCCCAAGCAACTAGTACTTTGCGTTTCTTTTCATAAATAACTTTTACTACTTCGTTCATTAAATTCAGAGAAGAAATAAAAAGCGAAAAATTCTTCAATGATGATGCATCATTATTCGTTTCTTGCGTTATCGCCGTCATATCTCGGGATATAAAAACAAGTGATCATAAATTCAATCTAAAATGGTGCTTCTACATAAATTGAGAGTAAGATATGCCAATTTTAATATTGCAAATCTGAAACAAATATTTTACTTTCATGTGGCATCTGCTTATAGGTGATCTATTATTTCTTTTTGCATTTAATTTGTCATAATTCTGCTTTAAGGAGACTCTTTTTACAAAAAGTATAAAAAATTATGTTCGTTAATGCCAATTAAGCAAATAAATAAAACGAATTACTTAAACATAGATTCAAATTTCTATTCTAAACCGCTTGCCATGATAGCTCCGCGTCAGATAACTGGTCTAGTAAAAACAGAGAGAGTGAAATCGATCCTCAATGGTGGCTTCTACGTAAGTTGAAAGGCATTGGTGTCGATTTTGAAAATGTAATTACGAAAAAGATATTTTGTATGCATATGACATCTTCATATATTACATGATCTTGTACTAACTTTTGATTTTAATTCGTTATACTTCAGAAATAAAAAGATTCTTTTTACAAAAGACATTTAAAACAACGTTCGTTAATGCCAATCAAACAAATAAATAAAACGAATTATTTAAACAAGTAGAATCAAATTTTAACGTAAACCGCAAAGCACTGATCCTGTTAAAAAGGGTAGTGAGTTCGTTCCTCACTGGTGGATTCTGGGAAATTTGAGAGCCAGAAGTGCTTTTTTTAGTATTGTATCTCAGAAAAAAAATATTTTATCAACAAATGACATAGGCATATATGAGAACTTTTATTTATTTTTTCCATTTCCTATGACACAACCATGTTTCGAGGAGATGCTTTTCATAAAGAGCATTTAAAACTATATTCGTTAATACCGATCAAGAAAGTGAATAAAATAAATTATTTAAACACATACATTCAAATTTCCAGTCTAATCAAGCTGCTAACCTACTTCAGATGCAGAAAAATTGTCTTGCATTCAAGGGTCGTGATTTCGATCCTTACTGGTGTCTTCAAACTAAGTTGAACGTCAGTTGTGCTGATTTTAGTATTTCATTTCTGAAAGAGATATGTCTTCTCCATTTGACATATGCGTTTATATGATTTCTAAATATCTTTGCATTTTTTTTGTCAAACCCATGCCTCAAGGTGACTCTTTTCGCATAGGTCGTATAACACTAGAGTGTTTAATGTCGATCAATCAAATAAATAAAATGAATTATTTAAGCAAATAGAATCAAATTTTTAGAGTACACCAGCCGCCATCATGTCTCAGAGGTTGAGCATTGGTCCTGTAAACCAGGGGGCGTGAGTTCGAACTTCAATGGTAGTTCCTTCATAAGTTTAGATTTAGTTGTTTTAATTTCACTATTCAAATTTGGGGTATGTATTTTATCTTTTTACGCCATCTGCGTATGGGTGACCTTTTTTTTTTTTTTTTTTTATTCATTTTGCATTTAATTCGTCAAACTTCTGCTTTTTGGAAAACGCATATAAGGCACTCTTTTTACAAAACACATATAAAACTACATTTGTTAACCCGATTAAAAAAATAAATATAAAAAGTTATTGAAATGCATAGATTCAAATTTTAATCTAAACTAGCAGCTGCCACAGGTATCGTGATTTCGGTCCTCACTGGTAGCTCCTACGTAAGTTGGGTAACAGATGTCTCGTTTCGGGACTATAATTCTTGAAAATTAATTTATATTTTATATCTTTCGCTTACTTTTTGGTATTTTCTTGATCACAATCATGCTTCAAGGAGACTCAATTCACAAGAAACATATAAAATTAAAATCATTCAAGCCGATCAGGAAAGTGAATAAAATGAATTATTTAAACACGTAAATTGAAATTTTGGTCTTATTTAGCTGACAACAAAGTTCAGTGTCAGAGATCTGGTCTTGTACATAAGGGGCGTTATTTCGACTGTCACTGGTAGCTTCTATGTAAATTGAATGTACGATGTGTTGTTTTTATTGTTGCATATCTGATACAGATATGTTAATTCCGTATAACATTTGCTAATTTGTGATTTATAAATATTTTTGCATTTTCTTTGTCACAACTATGCCTCAAGAAGACTATTTCCCCAAAGGCCATATTTAACTAAAATGGTTAATCCTGATGAAGCAAATAAATAAAACGAATTATTTAAACACGTAGAATAAAATTCCAAGTATATTACATTCGATAATGACGATTAATCTACTAAATAAAACAAATTAACAGTGCTTTATTTTGTCAAATTATTGATGGTTTGATGTAATCTGAGGTTATTTCCTATGCTCTTAATTTTTGTATGTTTTTTTTTCCTGTATAAGATTTTCTTTTTTTTTTAAATTGAAAAAAAGCTAAGAGAATATTTATTATTTCAGCAATAATTCTTTTGTGATTTATGCAAATATTGTGGCTGATTTTTTTTAAAAAAAAAGGCTCTGCAGTATGCTAGGTAATAAATGTGTCATATATAAGTTTTATTGCATATATCTTTCGAATGATTTCTAAAGTTTGAGTACTCTTTAAGAAAATTGAGTGTATTCTTTTTATTTGTTAAATATATACTAGTTCATTTTTAAGAATTACTTGTATTTAAATTTGTTGCAAGGTAGCATTAGGTTTAGCTTCTAAAGATGGCATTTCTTATCAGAAGATGGAAAATTAACGAAATACAATTAGCGCGAGACTTAGATGAGTCACCTGATCCGTCTATGTCTAAAATTGTTTTGAGAGATTTGATAATCTCTAGTAAATATTATACAGAGGAAGAAGCGAAAGAGTTATTGGAAGTTATTACGGCCGAAAAGTTAGAGACAGAACAGCAACAAAAGCTGGAACAACAAGAGCAATTAACGATTGAAAAATTACGCTTGGAAATATAATTATCTAGGAACGTTCATTAGAATGCGGTTCAAAATAATGGTCAAATCTAACACGTAAAATTTTTAGACGAAATAGTTAAAATGGTAAGGCTCTTAACAGTAAAAGTACCCAGTAAATCAGACGAATTGGATTATTTCTTTTCTAGTCTTGAAAAAGCTTTCACTAGTGAAAATGTCAGCGACGAATTCAAGCCGAAGGTTTTGTTATGCATGTTAGGGGACAAAGTGTCGAATTTATTAGTTAACCTAGATGAAGAAGAATTAAAAGACTACGAGTCTTTAAAACAGTTTGTGCTCAAGGAGTATGAACCTTCACCGAAAATATGCCTAGAAAATTTTAGGAAAGCCAAACGGTACCCTGATGAAACGAATGGAGTGATAGTTAAAAGACAATTTTAATGGTAATTGGGGTAAACAGCCGTTTGGAGATAAAAAGTCCTATAATTTGCTTTCTAGGAAAACTTTTGAAAAAACAAAAGTCTCTGAAATTAAAAAAAATAACTTGTTTAACCTGCGAATCAGATAAACATTTTAGGCGGCATTGTCCGAAGAACAAATGAGTTGATAATAAAAGGCTTAGTAATTTAATGTGAATAAAGTTTCCACGGAAGGTACAGAACTGGAAGATGGGACAGCAGCGGCTAGAATTGACTTGCTAAGTAAAGTCATTCCTAGGCAAGTTATTGAAGACAGGTAAAGTGAAAGACACATTAGTGAAAATGTCTATCAGTGTAGATGGGAAATTAGTCCATGCGCAGTTGGTTTCTGGTGCGAAATTACTGTTGTCAAAAAGGATTTAGTTCCTGGAATTTCAGTTCAAGGAGCTTCCACGATTTATTTGAAAAGTATTTTCGTTCCGTTGGTTAAATGTCCTTTAGTGTATAATCGAATTGGTCTTCAGGTTAATGTGGTGCGCCAGCAAGTGTTGTGTGCTTTGGCAGAAGTTTTGATGGAAGATGTCTTGCTTCCACCAGATGTTTTAGACATGTTGGGAGGAGCCCGGAGTGAAGAGAATTCACTGGTTCTAAGCTCTCAGTACCTGGGAGGTGACTCAGGAGCTTTAGGTGAAACCGAGGTCTCATCTGGAATTCTGCAAGAGAAAATACCAGAAAACGTTGAGGATTCTCAAAATAATATTACTTCATGTTGGAATGAGGTAGGAACAATGATTACTAAGGACAAAGAGATAACCGCTGAGACAGATAAGGGAGTTATGGTGGCTGACAGTTTTCGCTCCGAGCAGGACTGTGGTGCCGAATTAGCATAAGTTAGGATGCACGCCAAAGAGAAAAGGAAACTACTATGAAGTAGATGTGTATCTATTTCATAGAGATAAAATTCTCGGGGAGAGTATTGGACAACTAGTAGTTCCGGAATGAAAACGAACTGATGTGTTGAGACTAGCTCATACCTCTGTGTTCAGAAGTCATACGGGTCCCAGGAAGGCGCTTGAACGAATCAAGTATTCCTTCTTTTGGGAGGGTCTGAGGACCGATCGAGTCAACTCACTCGATCGGTCAGGATTAACAACACATCGCCGATTGAACCTGTGGCAAGGCCTGAATTACCATTTCAGGTAGTGAATTGGGATTTGATAGTCCAATTGATCCACCAAGCTCAAAGGGACATAAATATATCTTGTGTCTGGTAGATCAGCACACTAGGTGTGGCGAGACTGTGCTCTTGACCAATCTTAGTGCAAAGGAAACCTGCGAAGGTTTGTTAAGAAAATTTTCAAGGACTGTATTGTATATATTTGTGTTTTTTTTTTTGGTATAATTTATATTTTCTTAGTATTTGCATGCAATTCCATCATACTTTAGATTTTTCTGGGAAGATAGTCAATTATTTCAATTGTGTGAACTATTTATTTTATTACATGCGTTTCTTTTGAAGAACTTTAACTGAAACAATCAGAAACGCAAATGAATTTTCATTATTATTTTCCATGCTTTTGAATTTTCTGTTTTATTGATTTTCTTTCTGTGTGGAGTTGTAAAATCAGCCACAGGGGGCGAATTTAACTCTAAGGGGTTGCGAATGATAGATATTGAATTCTTTTCTAGGATTGATGATCAGTGTGGTGTTCAAAAGGGAAAATAACGATTACAACATTCAGTCCTGTTTTATTTATTTTCAGTATACATATCACAAAAAAACAAATCAAATCACCGATTCCATTAGATTTTTCAAAATACCTCCTCCATCGTTGCCTTGACATACTCTATATCTTTCACCAGCTCCCAGATCTCCATATCTGCTTTCTCTGCTGCCAGGTGCGGGTGCTAGATTCTTACAATCACCTTATATAGAGAATGCCTGTCAGAGTTGAGATCACAATCCCTAGTTTTAGAGACCAGTAAAAAAGCTCCCATCACACCTCAGATAAGGAGCAACGGTCTCTTAAAAGAGATAGCAAATTTGAACCTCACTGGTAGCTCATCCGTAAGTTTAAGAGTGGTCCATGATTTCGAATATCTCAGAATGTATTTTATCTTCTTAACACATCTGCGCATTTTTGCTCATTTATTTTTTTATTTCTTATGCATTTAATTCATCATATTTCTAATGTAACTGACGCTTTTTTGAAACTCCAAGAAATCTACACTCGTTAATGCGATCAATAGAGTTAAAAACGAAATTTAAACACGTGTAATAAAATTATAGTACAAACCTGCAGCATCCTAACTGAGTGTAGAGAATTGCTCTTGTAAACGGTCGTGAGATTCTTACTGGTGCCTTCTGAGTAAGACTTGAAGATTTACTGATTTTAAAACAACTCTGGAAAAGTATTTCTACAGCCACAAATGCAAAAAGATCTGTTATTTATATTTACATTTTCTTTGTCACGACCATGCTTGAAGCTGACTATTTAAAATTGTATGAAACATCTACTCTAAATACGGAGGAAGCAAGTAAAACACTTGGCACTGATTTCTTTAGAACAGTGGATGCCAGCAAAGCTCTGTAGAGCATCGGTCTTGTAAACCAGGCGAGTTTGTTCCTCTCTAGTAGCTTCTAGATAAGATGAATGTCTAATTTTATGTAGTTTTGCATCTCGGAAAAGATTTCTTAACATCTTATATGAGAACTTTATTAAATTTTTGCATTTCTTATATCAGAATAGTTCTTCACGGAGACCTTTTCACAAAGGGCATTTAAAATTAATCTGTATCATGATGATTATGCTAATAAAAGAATATTTTACAAACGTAGAGTCAAATTTCTCTGATTTTTGCCAGCCACCATAGCTCAGTGGCGAGCACTGGTCTTGTAAACCAGGGTCGTGAGTTGACTCCTCACTGGGCTTCCGTGATGTGATAATCGAAGGTGCTATTTTAGTATTTCATCTGAAACAGAAATTATCTCCATATCATGGGGGTAAAATTACTTTTATTTTGTTTTCAAAACCATGCCTCAATTAGAATCTTTTCTCACATGACGTAGA